ACAGGGGACGGAAGATCATTGGCATTATTGATTGGCCACCAGTGGTGTCATGAAGTACGACCTTTAGAGTGAGTGCCACGCACACCTGACCAGACCATTCTGTCTGCTAGTGGTTAGTTAGAGGAGGGAAGAGCCAAACTAATAGAAAAGTTATGAAATGATTGAGTGATGAGTCGAAGCGAGACTAAGTGATTTGAAGAATAACAACAAGAGAATTTGTTACCTTTCCGGAATGATAGCAAGGTACAAGGTGGAAGCAGACTACATAGCATTAAATTGGGAGAACGAAATTCATGTTACTATCAGCTGAAGAAGCTAGAAGGTGTAGAGATGATGCCCCAGGGACCTGTACCTCGTTAAGCCCTATCTATAAAACTGGTAAACAAGAGACTGCATACTAGAATTGTTTGAAGGGAGGGGGAAGGAATCAAAAGAATCTGCCAAGTAGAGGTATTAACAAACCGGCATTACCACAAGCTATCAGTGTTTCAGACAGGGTGTGGGCAGTAGCCACACAGAAACATATCAGCCTGTCTAGGGTATGTGGGGAGAGTCCACAAGGACATTAAGAATAAGGCCACCGTTATCCCTGGTGACGCTACCCATGGATGTTCAAGGTTGGGGTGTCCATCTCCTTGCCCCCTATTACCAGATGGAAGAAAGGTATGAAGAAAAAGATTCACTCATAGAGATGATTGGTAGAGGCTTAGTCAATTGTACAGAATTATGGGAGCCGATAGTGAAGAGATTCTAATGTCACCTTAAATAAGATGCCAGTATTAATGAAGCCAATAGAAAAGATCGATATGGATCACTTAAGGGATAAGTTAAGTGCGTTGGGAGACAAAGGTGTAGCTTGGGAAGACGATGAGCAGATCGCGATAAGTTGGTCAATAGTAATGGGTACATTCCTAGTTACAGCCATCGGAGGTGTAATAATATGGAAGATTAAGAGTAAGAGAAGATTAGCGAGCGACAGTCTAGTGAGCATGCAACAACTCGAGAGGGGAGATGCCGAAAGCAGTGTTCCTTACTCAGACAGGACTGGCGAAGAAAATTGCTGAAAGACCAATGGAGGAGGCTGGCGTGAGACCACCACGCTGGCGGGAAAACCTCCTAATGCAGAGAGAGGAAAACATTGACCAAGAAGAACAGACCCTAGTGAACACATCTGCACCTACAAACACACGCACACATGACCTTGCATGTAAAAAAAAAAGAAAATGAAAAGAACATTTCATTGCATGTAGAACAGAAGAAAATGAAAAGAACATTTCATTGCATGTAGAACAGAAGAAAATGAAAAAGAACATTTCATTGCATGTAGAACAGAAGAAATGAAAAGAACATTTCATTGCATGTAGAACAAAAAAGAAAATGAAAAAGAACATTTCATAGCATGTAGAACAAAAGAAAATGGAAAAGAACATTACCCTTGCATGTTAGAAAGTAGAATAGAATTGCATGAGACAAATGCATGGTGCATGTTAAATGATGTAATTGGGTTTAGGTGTCATTTACGGGTAAATGACAAATCGGTTAGGGGAGGATTGTGGCACCTTGCATTATTAGAAATATTCATAGAAATATGATTTAATTTTTTTTACTCGGTTTATTAAACAGGTCGTTAATTTTTTTTCTTTAACGGAAAATAATTGAGTTGGAAATAATTCACTAAGATTGTACTTGGACGATCCTAAGGAAAGAAGAAGGAAGGGAAAAAGAGGAAGAGAGAATAACAAAAAGCGGTCATTAACAAAAACACGTATCAGAAAGGTAATTAGGCCAACATCTTGGCCGATTTTCGAAAAGAACAATGGGATTTGTTATTTAGAAGGGAAAGTCAATGGTGGAGGTAGGAGTCAGAAAGATATCTTAGCTAGCATGTTGACCGAATTTTTTAAAGACAATTGGAAGAATAGAATTAGAAATAATAAAAAGAAAGAAAGGAAAAGACATGATATCAAAACGGGCCGCTTTGATGAAAACCAGATATCGGTCAAAGCATCTAGCCTACTTTTTTGTAGAAAGACACCTTATCAATTTGGATAAAGGGAAATTTTGGGAACAATGAAAACGAAATCTTAATCAGAAAAAAAAAGTGTTTTTTGGGTTGAGGGAGTGACCGTGGAACGTATACAGATTCTGACCTGTTAAAAATTAGAACCCCACATTGACGAAAGTGAAAGATGTTTTCAATTCAGATAAATTAAGATTTTCTGACTGCGGGTCTGACAAAAAACAAGAGGTGAAAAAAACGATTGTCTCAGATCACAGATGGCGACAATATTCTTTCCTGAAGTCACAACTAATTAGCGGCAGGCTGTGTTGACAAAACCCAGGTGAGAAAAAAGCCAAGATTATCATTTTAAAGACGATGCGAAAAAGGCCAACTTAGATTTTGTTTTTTTAAAAACAAGAACGATGTAACCACGCCCGAAAGGAGGAGAAAGGATGCTCGATCAATAACAATTGGTCGGAAACGGTCACGTGATCTGTAGAAAAGAAGAGAAAGAAATGCCCGATCAGGAACCATTGGTGAAAAACGGTCACCTGACATATGAGAGACTAAGAGAGATGGTGTGCACCTCCCCACCAAAGGCACTGTGAGGAAGTAGGGGTGAAAACAATAGCGATAATGGGAAATCAAAAATAATGCGACTTTTGGAGTTATTGAGAAAAACCTGACGACAGACCCACCCCAGTTTGTTCGTAAGCGCCAATAAAAGCAGGACCCCAGTCGACAGAAATCAGTTGGAGTGGAGTTGCAGCTGGACTGCGGGCAGGGATAGAGCCTGAACGCTGGCATCGGTCCGATTCACCCGCCTAGGCGGGCAAAGAATCCTCAGACAAGAAATCCTTCCAGCCCAAGTCGAAGACAGAAGAGTTCAGCCCGGACGGCAGCGAGAAGAGATCACCCGGACGACAGAGAGTTGCGGCTGAGTTATGCAAGAGATCCTTCCAGCCCAAGTCGAAGACAAGAGAACTTCCAGCCTAAGTCGACTAAGAAGAAGAAATACAACTCAAGTCGAAGGAAGAATCAACTGCGAATGATCGATAGAAATTAGCCCCAGTGTCGAACCAAACCACACTCCGACATACACAATTCTAAAGAGTAGGCAATTCAAATCTTTAGGTTGTGTGATAGAAGCTTGGTGCCATAGTCCACAGAGCGGGTCGGGAAATAAGAACAATTTTTCTTTATGTAACGGACATTAGATATAAAAGGTTGTCACCCTTTTTTATCAGTAATTTTTGTCTCGTGAGTTTATTTTCTTTTATTTGTGTTTTGCCACCCCGTCGGACTCAACTTGTATCGGCCCTAATCCCTGCTGGTCCCGCCTGTCTAAGATCTAAACACAGCGTGGGTAGACAGACCGGAGATCGGTACAGTTGCTTTTAGTGACCAGGTATTGGAAGCGAAGTCGGGAAAGGCGAGGCTGGTGATCATCTGACCAAGGGGTTGGAGCAGCACGCTTGCGACCAGGAGGAGCGACGTCACCGTTGGCGCCGTAACCAAAGGATCCGACCCTGGGCCAGGTGTGTAACCGTCACAAATGTTTACGGAAAACAAGAAATAGTGAAACTGGAGGGGATATATAGCTGGTCAACTAGGGTGGCTAGCAAATCCCTATTGCAGATGCTCCCTCAGGCACACTTTTCTTGGTCTCATCTGCCCTATTTCCATTCTTTCCTGTCTTGAAACCAAAATGATGCAATTGCTTATCTGCATCCCCTTCTTCTGTGTGTTAACACTATTCTTAATTTCAAGGAACTTTTTGTCTTATTACAGTTATTTTGCCTTGCATTTGTTGGCTCAATATTATTTTTACTATTTTCTTTCTCTTATTATTGTTTATTGCAAACTTTGTCAATTCTGTATGCCAGGCATTTCTGTCAATTACATTTAACCATTACCAATTCCTCTAAAGTATTGCCATTTGAAAGAGTGACATCTTTTGTTGACCTAAGCTGGAGAATTTTTTCCCTTCACTCACTCAAATTGAGAATAAAGGTCTGATTTGATTGTTATATCTTAATCTAAGATTACATCCAAAATAAAACATACCATATTCAGCCAACTCCTCAACAAGACCTTTGGTAGAGTTGTAGTTCAGATGTTTTTTCATCTTGTTATATAGGAATAAAGTGTTGTTGTCAACACTTGAGTTTGAACATAGATCGCCAATGAGCAAACACTGGCAATCCCATTATTGAATTAAATAGATCACATGACCATAGAGAAGTTGCGTGACGTCTAATGGATCACCATTTCTTTATCTTCTATTATTATTGAGACTGCTATTCTCTACTATATTCACTATACGAAGTTAGCATTACAAAAGTGGCAATAAGTATACGTTTGAGATTACAAAACATCTAGAATCCAAAATTTTTTTCGATAAGAAATAAAATTTCATGTTCTTGACAAATAAATTCAATGTTTGTTACATTTCAAGGGATTTTTAGCATTACATTACATACAGTTCAATGCACATAGGTTTTATTATTGAATTTTGACCAGTATTTCTTTCATTTTCTATTGATATTTATATCTACTTAAACCAGTATTCCAAGGTTGTTGGAATGGCAATCAAACTATCATAAGAAAAAGTAATTTAAGATGAAAGAAATCTTGGTCTAAAATGAATAATGGCTGACAATGCTTCATGTAATAATAATAAAATTCAAGATAATATTACTACTAATACTACTAATGTAATAAAAAGCAAGTGAAATTAAGATGAAAGAAATCCTAGTCAAAAATGAATAATGCCTGACAATGCTTAATCCAATGACATTTTCAATAATTTTGCTGTATTCTTCAAAAGAATTGAATAAAAAATAATAATATTTACTTATTACTTACCTGATGTGTGTGTTTTAATTTAATGTTATTTATAAAATTTTTGTTTTTACATTTCCCATGATAATGTTGTCCCTGAGTTTTGCAAAGTGTTTTTACTCTGACCAACATTTTTCATCCATAAGTCAGTCTTTTACCCTAAAAAGAAGAAAAAGAAATTTAAGAAAAGGACAAATATTCCAAAACTGTCGATACCAAAAATACCGTTAAAGATTGAGATTTGAATATGTGAGCATTTGCCTGGCTAAAATTTATGCCTTCATTAAATGGAGCTTGTAATTTACAGTGGACAACACAACCTGCAAGCAGTCTTCCAGGTTATCTCCCTTTTTAAAAAAGACTGTATAACTAGTGATGAGGAGAAGCAACAAACCAGAGTCTTAAGATACATACATCCTCATCCTATTTCTCAAACCTTTGCTTACAGCTATTGTGACAGAACAAGCCTGTCCCTTACTACCCTCATTTATCAGCTTGCATCAGAAGTGGATGACTTCTTAGATCTTCATTAAATACCAAAACAACAACTGCTGTGCTAGGGACAGTAAAATGATAAATGTCAGGTTTGTAATTGTTATATTCAGTGAGAATAGCTTACATTTTAAATGAAAGACCTTGTCTATTAAGTTATATTGTACATGGTATTATATATACATTATATATATATATATATATATATATATATATATATATATATATATATATATACAGGGTGTCCATAAAGTTCGTGGGCACTTTAAAAAATGTACAACGTTATTTGTATTTGCGATAGAAATAATTCGTAAAAAGGATTAGAAAGAAATAAATCTATATTTTTTTAAGGTTTTATTGAAATTTTATTTAAGTTTCCACATGTCCTCCATCATTAGCAATACAAAGGGTAATACGATTTTGCAGTTCATGGAAAACATTTGCCAACTGATTTACAGTAATGCCTGAAATCACATTAGTTATTTTAGCTATACTTAAAACTAGGTACATTAAACTTTATAACGTTTTTTACAGATTATTTCTATCACAAATAAAGTTATAAATTTTAAAAAGTGCACACGAACTTTATGGACACCCTATGTGTATGTATGTATATATATATATTTTGAACAATAAAAAATATCAAAAAATTAAAATCTTCAGACACACTGGGTTGTATATTAATATTCCTTCATTTTTATTATTATTTCATTCAGATTCCTCGACTAGTTTCGCCAACATCAGGAGAAAAATAATTTTCTACTTGCTGATAGCAGAACTATGAACTATATCTATATATATATATATATATATATATATATATATATATATATACACACACACACATGCACAGGGTGCAATGAATAAATTGTCAACTAAATTACGCAAAAATGAAAATAACTCTGACACCTCATTTTAAGAGATTTACTAAAATTACACAAAAATATCTTGAAATAGTAAATTTATTCAATAAAACTGCCATTAGCTTCAACCACACCGTCCAGATGATTTTGGAATCTTCTGGATGGTCTCCTTGTTTAAGTTGGTGAATGCTGCCATAATCATTGCCTTCAGTTCTTCAGTGATACAAGGAGTTTTGTTGGTCTCTCATTCAACTGTACTCCACATGTAATAATCAAGGGGGTTGCAGTTTGGAGAGTTAGGTGGCCAGATGTAAAGGGTGATGTGGTCGCAGAAATTGTCTGACAGGCATGACTGAGTTCGCCTGCTTGTGCGGCATGGTGCAGAGTCATGTTGTCAGACCATAGGGTCTTTCAGCAGCCATCCTCAACCCAGGGCATCACTACCTCCTCAAAGCACTTGATATAGGCCCCTGTTTTGAGTCTGAGGCCCTGTGGGAAAATGAGGGAGGCATAACGTTGTCATTGCTAATGATCGCTCCAAACACCATGCTGTTGACGGGATATATCATCCAACTCCTCCTGAATTCTCTGCACTATCTTCAGATTGACATCCAATCCCTCTGAAATGTTTCCAGCATGAATGCCAAACAGTACAGCATGCCGTTTCCAAATTTCTGGTGGAGTGAATTGTGTCATGCTGCTCTTTTTCTCACAGACAGTGCCCAACTGATGCTATTATACTGTGTAGTCAACAAAATCAAACGCAAATAATGCACATACACAAAATTTAAAAAAAATATATAATGGCGACAATTTACACACCGCACTGTGTGTGCGTGTGTGTATATATATATATATATATATATAAAAAGGTGTAATAGCAAATTTGTCTAAATTGTGTAACAGAATGGGATAAATGTCTATCCTGTAAAATGTTTAATATCTAAAAGGCCTCTAAACTAATTGAGTTTCTTTTTACCGGGTGTTCAGATAAGATGTTTAGCCATCTTGACACCATTTTTTTGTAAGAATCACAGAAATAACCCTTGAGTAATTCAGCTAGAAAGAGAACAGGTTAAAATCGTTTTGTGTCAACCCCACCATGTCTTCCCCGAGAAATGGTGAGAGGAAAAAGATCATTCAGGCCTTCAGTAATGGTATCAACATTCATACTCTGGCTTCCATCTTCAAAGTCCATTCAAGAACCATCAAGAGAACAGTGAATAAGTTTAAAAAACAGCAAATAGTAGAGAGGAAAACTGGATCAGGAGGTCACAACAGGAAGAGGGATCATCATTT